ATAAATGTAAAATAATAAGTATAGAATAAGGGATCATGAGTCTGAGGGGTTGGAGAAGATTTGGAATGAGGAGAGGTCATGGTGGAAATACGTAAACAGGGTATAATCATGTATGAAGTTCTAAAAAGTAAAATTTACTTTAAAATAAATACATAAATAAACAAATACATACATAGTTTATTTTAAAATGCTCTGGATTTTTATTCCACAAGCTTCAATTCACCCCTGTGAATCTGTTTGAGCCTCAAATTTCTAGTATTTGAAATGGTTGGGATGATGCTTCCTACATTTTGAAGTTCCACTCCTAACTCATTCTGGGGGTTAGTGGCTGGTGTCTACTACTGTAAGTGCAGTTCAGCCACTATTTATTGTAAGAAAAGGCGGATGCCAAGTGTTGCTCACTGATTCCTTGGCATACATACCTAATTCCAGGACAGGAATAGAGTGGACTATTTCAATAGGATTATTTTAATGTTCGCTATCCTACCACTATATATAAATGTATACACACAGACATTACCACAAAAAAATGATTTATACCAAAAGCTTTGACAAGTGTTTGTCTGACCTGACAGCCTACGTTCCTTGTGGGACTCTTTTACTGTTTGCTCCAGTTAGAAATGGTTTCTAGCTCAGTTATAATTTTAAAAGACACTTCTTCATTTGTGATTATATAGTTGTTTTAGAGGCACATAAGCTCCACTTATTCTTACCCCACTTCTATTGAAATGAACATTTCTAATGATTCAAAACTGATTCACAGAATTGGGTTAAAAACATCATAGAGGAGTGTGGTAGTTTGAATATGAATGACCCCCATAGGCTCGTATATTTAGATGTTTGTTCATTTTAGGGAGGGTCACTATTTGACAGGGATTAGGTGATGTGGCTTTGTTGGAAGAAGTGTATCACTGGTGGTGGGCTCTGAGGTTTTAAATGTTCAAGACAGGCCCAGTGCCCCTCTCTTTTCTTGCTGCCTGTCAATATGGATGTAGAACTCTCAGCTGCTTCTCCAGCACCATGTCTGCCTGTGTACCACCACGCTTCCCACCACGATGACAATGGACTAAACCTCTGAACTGTAAGTAAGCCTCAATTAAATGTTTTTATTTATAAAAGTTGCCATGGTCATGGTGTCTCTTCACAGAAATAGAAACCCTAAGATAAGGAGCAAGACTGTTGATGTGTACTTACTGTCTTCCACACACTGTTGGTTTATGGTGCACTTACTTTTGAGTACTATGGAATTTTATAATTTCATGTTTTGCGGAAGATGTAAATATTGGTATGGTAAAGAAGCTGACCCGAATACATGCCAATCTGACTATATGACATTATGGGTAAAGGCAAATCTAAGGCATCTATAAAAGGTTTGGCATTCTCAAAGTTTAGTGGAGGGAAGATGAGTAAGTGTAATATAAAGGGCTTTTGGGTGTTAAAACATTTTTGCATAATATTAAACTGTTTGACAAAGTCCACATAATATGCAACACAGAGTAAATTCTGATACAAATTAAGTATGGACTTTGCCTGATGGTATGCATGTAGATTTAGTGAATCCTGCTCCAGAGATTCTTAATGACCATACAAGAAGCCCATGCACCTGTATCCTTCCTTCTTTGTGACTTCCTCAGACACAATATCATTACACTGTTGGAATCATCATTATGATGTTAAAATTCCAAGTTCTGATATAAAAACAGTAAAATATTCCAACTTAAGACTGATATGGTCCTTAGGGATTCCTAGAGAAAACTTCAAGTTTCTCAGAAGATCTTAGAAACACCTCCAGCTTATCATTCCATGGGGGCAGCAATCACTTTAGGGTTGGAAAAGACTAACACAATCTGAATAGCTACTCTATGAAACAGATTAAAATTATTCATTCCCAAAGTCAAGCTGCAAATCCACAGAGCTCTTCCATTCCCAAGAATTAGTGCAGAGAATGCACTGCCAACTAAAATACCGCTGAAGAGAACAAAATAATGTTTTTATTGCTGATGTGTGTGATTGCTATAATCCTTGAGTTTAAAGAAAACTATATATTTTTATTAAAGTTTAGAATTTTCTAAAACATAAAATAATTTCTGTGGAAAAAATATAAGGACCCAGAAACAACCCAGTAGGAAGTTTATGAGCAGTTGGTCATTTAGTGTGTACTCTTGGTTTGGGTATAAAGTGAAGCATTAGTACTGTGGAATGTGTGAACCACTGGTGTTATAGGCATTCAGGAAATGAAATTGCAGAATCAATAAAATATTAACATCAATTAAAATCTAATACCTACAACTTTTCATCTATTTTCAAAAGTGGCGTTTTAAGTTATAGTTAAAGAGATCTTTTTTAAACAACAAATATGACCATGCACTGTGTAAAGGGAATACCACAGATCAGCACTCTGACAATAATATAGAATCGTCTTCATATGCAATAAAGATTTGTAATAACAATGCTTTCACAGTTTTTAAAAATTCAAAGCAAATAAAAAATACATTAAACAGTTTATGTTTATATTCTGCATTATATGGAGAAATTAGAAAAATTAAAAGCTTACAAAATAAAATGAAATGTGATTTCAATTAAGAAAATATTCATGCCTGCCTAAAGCAATGCTAAAAATTCTGAATAAAACATGGCTCCTGTAATTGGACCAAGTTCATTTCTTATGAAGTTGTTCTAATTCTGAAACCGCATATGTGCAAGAGCCTGGATGTGGGAGGCAAGGGTTGCCATGGTGAGCACACATCTTTTGGAGAAGTTAAATTAAAAAGAAATGTGCATAAAGTCCTCTCAGCTCACGGTATATTCTGGAAATTAAGAATGTTTTTTCTCCCATGACATCTTGGTGTGGTGGAAGGGTATTGGTACGGTGGGACATAGACAGCTCAAATTTTAAAGCCTTCAGCTTTTAAAGGTGTCTTGGAAGTAAGAGATCCCCAAGTTAGGTAGCTGTTTAATTGTCGGGTAGGGAACCAGCTCTACTTACACTGAGGTAATAAATTATCAGAGTTCAGGGTATTTTGCAAGCCCGAGGCACCTGAGGAATTCAAATACAGATATTGCTAAATACACTTTAGTCTCAGATAGTTAAGGAAAAATAAAATCACCCCTGAACCCTGCTTTCTCATTATTCCCCTGTTGTGATGAGTAATTTCAAGGAAGCCTGGCAGAGGGCTCCACTTCATTTCCAGCAAGATCTCCAGGTGGTTCCCCAGACCCCAGGAACTAGGAGTGCTTGAACCAGAGCTGCACGTGTTTCAGAAAGGCAGCAGCTTTTGAGGCGAGAGAGCACCCACGTGCGCCTGCGCAGGGCCTGAAGAACTTTCCCCCTACGCCCTCAGAGGGAATGCATCATTTCAAAGTAGGAGCCAGCTGGGACCAGGTGTAGGGGTGGAGGGTAGGTTGTAACAAAGAAATGTCAGAGGTTGTTAGCCAAAAGCCATTCAGGCTATGTTCGTTTCTTTAGCTTTTGGTCAACTTTATTAAAAATAAAGGGGAACTTCAGCAACTGGGATACTGAGCTTCTAATAGGCTCAGCCTGGAACAAAGAAAATCTACTTCCTAATACTGTTTCTCTTGCGTTGGAGGGATCACGTGTTCACTTTCGCTGGTACGCACTCTGCTCGCCCACGCGATGAAACCTCTATTGTGCTTAGAAATTTTGCCCAGGTTAAAATATGCTCAAACACAAATTGCTTCTCATCTATCAGCAGAGCCCCATCTAGAGACTCCGGTGCAGATGCTCTCCTGCTGACCCAATTACCACTGCAGGTAATTCCGATGTGCTGAAGTGTACCGGGAAAGTAATGGCAAAGAGCAGGTGGAGGCCCGCTGCTGCCTCGATTCCCACCCACCCCCTCCTGCTTTCTGAGATTCCTTTTGATGGAGAACTTGGAAAGGAACGTGGGAGTCGCAGATGGTTCCTTCCTGGGGCCGATTCCCAGGAGTTGTGAAAGTAACCCCTTCCCTGCCAGGTGAGGTGCCACTTGCTTTGTGCCTTGGTGGGGAGGGGCAACCAGCAAGAGAGAAGAGGGCGGAGGCGGGTCTTTCCTGCCCCCCAACCCTGATGGCCAAGTAGTGTAATGAAGCAATTTTGTAGCGATCTCGCTTATGAAGTCACTGTTTCTAAAGACAATCTGTGCAGCCCGCACCCCCATCCCGCCCCCATCTTGACTCTAAAATTGGTGATACAGGAGATCTATGGTAGCCCAGCTAATTGTCGGCGAGCTAGGATGCCACTGTTATCCAATGTTGGCGGTCTTTCTTCCCTTCCCAAATACAATCCGAAGCGCGTCCTGAATCCCTAAAGACTCCAGAGGATGTCAAGGGACCCCTCACTGGACCAGGAGCAGTGAGGTTCCCTAGCTTCTCCCGCAGAACACAAAGGAGTTGCCTGGCTTAGGGATACAGGGGCATCTTTCCTGACTCCAATGAAAGCATTCGCCCCATTGCCCCCCACTTCTTTCTGTCCTTTAGTCTTTCCTGCTCTCCCATCCCCTTCATGTCCCCAAACCCCACCCTTTTCTTTCTATCCTCAATAACATACACCCCCAATAATTCCTTTATAGATATCAAGACAATAATACAACACCTTCCAAGATAAAGCACAGTGTGAGCTGCCACAAGTGTGCGTGTGCGTGTGCGTGTGCGTGTGTGTGTGTGTGTGTGTGTGTGTGTAGATCACACTCGCTCCATCCCTCACACACCTCCGGGGAAAGCAGACTGGAGACCCCGGGACAATAAAAATCGAGAAAGCCAAATCTAGCCGGACCCTGCAGTCCCAGCACCAATGCCTCACACTCGCCCCTCACCTTTTCTTTTCGCAATATGTAACCCTTTAGGGTCTCTCGCCCATTCATAGCATCCCAAGCACTCAACCAGCTAGCGCAGGGTTCCCATAGCCCTGCAACCGCCCCAACGCCGCGACTTGCCAGCCACCTGAGCCTCCCAGATCCCAGGTCCTGGACCGCGGGTAGAGGTCCCTTCAGTGCTCTACTCACATCGCCAGGGGCAGAAACTACCCATGAGGGTCCAGGGTGCGAAGGCCTTGCAGCTGCCGAGGGTTACTCCTTAAAGTGCTCTGGGGTCCGCAGTGAAGCCAGTAGGGAGTCCTCCAAAGCAAAGGCAGAGGGGACTCCGGGCAGTTGCCGCGTCAGACCATGATGCCACTGCCCTTCAGGTGCAAGGCTGGAGAGGTGCCAGGGGGGAGCCAGGAGCCCGCGGGGAGCACCAGCGCGGCCAGTCCCCGGCCTCCGCCCGCCCAGCGCGCCGCGCTAGCGACCGTAGCAGCAGCAGTGGCGGCGGCGGCGGAGGCGCAGCTCCCTCCCCGCCCCCAGAAGGCTCCACAGACAATAAATCCTGGGCGGAGAAGAGAACGGCAGCGCGGGCGAATGCTGTACTCAACTCGGCTTCTGCCCGAGCCGGCCACGACGCCTCTGAAGGAGTGAGGGTCCCCGGGGCCCGGGTCACAGCAAGCACTGGCTGGGGTTGTGCGCTCCTGCAGCTGTGGGTGGCGGCGGGGACCCGGGGTGGGTGGCTGCAGGTCGCACTGGCCCAGAGGCTGGGTGGCCGTGGCTCGGAGCCCACGGTTGGCCCGGAACGGGGTCCTCCGCGGTGCAGTGGCTTGGCGCACAGGTGCCAGGATTGGCAGACGAGGCGCTGCTCCTGGCTCGCGCCCGTGACTCCACAATCTCCCCGCCCCCTCTCTTTCCTCCCACCCCCTTTTCCGACGACACCAGCTGCAGCTGCTTCAAAGTGTAAAAAATGTCAAAGAGATTTTCCAGGGCTCACAGAAGATGACCACCTTCCCAGACCTCAGCCATTCTTGGACATCCTCGCTTGCCCCTCATGACCTCTACTTGGACTCCCTGCAATTTGGAGGAACAAAATCCCAGTCTTGGAGAGATGAGATGTTCTAGCTTTCTTTGGTTCCGTTACCACTCGAGCTTTTAGACAACTGGCCAACCTCTCCAGGTTCCTCCGTTGCCTGGAGTGCACAAAGCAGGTGTTACCAGGTTCTGCATGGTGCAGCGCGGGCTCCTCGGGGTATTCTCCCGCTAGCCCCAGGCGCTCCTGCCGGTGGCACAGCGTGTTCTGCAGCGCCAGGAACCCACCACCAGCAGCAGCAGCAGCAGCAGCAGCAGCAGCAGCAGCAGCTCCAGGCCTGCGCGCCGGGTGCTCCCGCTCCAGTTCCGTGACGCTGCGCGTGGCTCCGCAGGCTGCCGCTCCTGCTATCTCAGCAAAGAGGCAGCCTGGAGCGTCTCCTCGGGGGTTTCCTCTCTCCCTGCATTGCCCGCTGCAGGTTGTAGGATGCCCAACAGAAAGATCTCTGCATATGGGTCCAGCAGCTTATTTAGTAGTGTCATTGAGACTTAAAAGGCAGCTTTCAAGACCCCTTCTCTTCATTTTGGTCTGGGGTTACTGTTCTGGGAATATTCAAAAATGAGAAGGGTTTCCCAACTTCCTTTTATCTATTTGAAACCCTACTTTCTGTCCTGAACTCAGGAACATTCGCCCACACATATTCACAGGAATGCACACACAGGAACATATGTATGGACAAAAAGATATAAAAAGCATACTGATGAAACTTGTGCTATATTTAGACTTCTGTTCTCTAGACACAGCCGAATTCCTCCTATCCCCGGATTTTTCTGCGATTTAGAGGCCATAGGGCTAGAAGCTTTCTCCTTCTTTCTCTGATTCTAGTAGACTGTGTGTGACATTCATATGCCACCCAGAGTTATGTGTGAGCTCCCAGTTTACTGAAAAGTATAAGTGCTGGCCTGTATCTTAGATGTGGAATATTAAACGTCTTCAAGGTTGCAAGACCTTTTTCCTGGCTGCCAAGAATTGTCTAGAAAGAGACTGGGGACTGGGATCTCATCTGCAGATGAGCAGGGAAGTTACTGCTTTATCTGGGCACATGGTAGATAGTGGTAGATAGGTGGGTCGATTCTTAAGGAGCCTTCCCGTTGCTTACATATAGAAGGGAAAGGAGTGCATTTTGGAAAGCAAGACCACCTTTTTAAAAAGCACTGTGAACACCGTGAAACTTGTTCTGAAAATGGCAAAGAAATAGGAAAAATGTTGAAAGGACACTTTTTAAATACTAACCTTTGTTGAAGTCTATTTCTTTTGTGTGTGCCCAGTTTTGTTCTGTGAACATCTTGCTATAAGTTTCAGTGTCTCAGCTGGAGGAGGCGCTATGACAGGAATTGAAAATCTATTAAAAATAGCTCATCACAGCTTATGTCCCGTTACAGAAATCCTTTGCAAAGTTCCAATTCTTTCCATTACTGCTTACACTATTCTTTCTCACAAAGTATTTCACTCACTTCTTTCCTAAAGCTGTATGTTGGGCCTTCCATTATGAAAAAGACATAAAAAGCTCATCTGAGCAAGGTCACCTTTGTACTGCATTAGAACTTAGAATTCCTTTAACTTCATGATCCACTCGTGTATGGAAATATTTCAAAGACACACTATGCAGCATCACAGCTGGCTATGAGTAACTTCTGGCCTTCATAGACTGAAGGAACATCCTCCCACGAGGTAGGAGACTTTTGTTTTCCTTTCCAAAGGGAGAAAGAGTTTAGGATACCCCAAACTAAAACTGAATGCCACTGAAATAGTGTATTTTAAGCCACATGCCTTCTTTCTCATTTTCCTTTATTTTATAATCTCATTTTGGGCCATAAGCATCCAAAGAGACAAGAGATGTTCATGGTGGAATGTAAATATGAACGAGAGTGAAGACACATTCTCTCAAGTGTACGCTTTGGACACAATACACCAAATTTTTTCCCCTAAAATTTGGCAGTCTTGAAGGAAATTAAGCCACCTTCAGTATTCATACAATGGGGTACATTGATGACTCCAGTGGTTTCACAGAATCATAGAACTGTTGAAATGCAAATGTTCTCCTGTCTTTAAACTCCAATTTGGCTGTCACCAGCCCTACTTCTAACCATACGCAGATGACTTGCTGAAAACTTCATGCAGATGTCTGACATCAAAACAATCACAACTTACAAAATTACAAATAGTTTTAAGACTAGCTATTCAGTATGCATCTACATATGGTTAGACATAAAGCTATAAAATTTTATGAGGTGTTAATAAAGTTCTTTGAATCATATTATTAAAATCATTGAAATGATAATCTGCTCTTGGGATAGGCAGGCCTAACCTTATTTGATAATAAAAGACATGATAATGTTAAATTTTCAGGTTCCTAAATCCTTGCTAATAATTCTCTTTTGATGCCTGCAATGTCTTCAAAGATATCCTCTTTGGGGAATTCCCAATTAAGGTAAAACTACATACAGAGAGGACAATGTTTCAATTTTAAGAGTTGTCAATATCTTGAAAAGGTTGGCTTACTTAGATATTGGTAATTGGGATAAAAGAAAACTTTGTTGATTTTGGATTCATAGAAATACAGGTCTGACAATATTAGAGCTGGTAGGATTTGTCAGGACAGACCAGCATCAGTGAGCACTATAAGCAGAGACTGTTGCTTTGCCATGGTTAGCTGTTGAAAGGCAGGGAGTTTTGAGTAAGAAATTGCCATAAGTCATTAAGACTCTTCTTCAAGTAAATTTGTTAGATGGTCTTTACTGTGAAACTGCTCTCTTACATTGCAATCTGTTCTCACTAAAGAGAATTTTTTAAAAAATTCATTTTTTTTTTTACTTTTTAAATTTAGGTATTAAATTTGAATTCTAAAGATACTAAAATATATTTAATGAACAAAGACTGTTGGATCTTAGTAGAAAAGCAGATATAACTTGCTAAGAGAATAGATGGTCAGTGGAGATTGTAAACACAAGAGAAGACTGCCCATTAAGAAGCACCCACCCACCCACCCCCCACCTCCGGAAAAAAGAAAACCGTAGAAACAATGGATATCAGAAGAAACGAAGAACTGAAAAACAGATGTGTAAATTACAAGACAAAACATGAAAGCTATGAAAAAATGAGTGTGCTCCCTCCACAGAGCTCACACCTATAATAACTGTAACAAAATTTCTTGAAATAACTGGAATGCTGGGTAAAGAATTCAAAATTACACTTTAAAAATGTCTAGTGACTTCAAAGAGGATTCAAATAAGCAGATGAATAAAGAAAAGACATCAGTTCAGGATCTAGATAAATGAATCAAAAAGCAACGTGAAAGAAATATACAGCACCACTACCCAACTTTATATAATGAAAATTCAGCAAGGAAATTGGTTTCTTGAAAGATAAACAAGAAATGTTGTAATGAATGGGTCTGATGAAAACACAGTAGAAAACATTACCAATAGACCAGACCAAGCAGAAGAAAAGGTATCAGGGATATAAGAGAAGGATGACTACAGATTACATTCAAACAGCAATGAAGAAAATGAAGCCATATATGACCATAATACTTAAAAACACTGAAAGATGATTGAGAGACTAAACCCAAGAATCCATGTAGTAGAAGGAACTGAGACAAAAACTACTGGGTTAAATAAATTATTTACTGAAATTATAGCAGAAAATTTCCCAAGTCTTAGAGAGGTCATGCAAGTGCAGGGTGCATTTAGCATTCCAAAGAGAAATGGCCTGAAAAGAGCCTCTCTGTGTCACATTGTATACAGTTAGAAGCTGAGAACACAGAAGAAGTAGCAAGAGAAAAACACTAATTTACTTTCAAAGGAAAACCTATCAGAATAACACCAGGTATCTTGAAGAAACCCTAAAAGCCGCACATTTCAATGCTGAAGATAGATAACTGTCAGCCAAGGTTATCAGATCCAAAATGTTTTCTGCAGAGAAGAGAGAAAAAGAGGACAAATAGTATTCTAACTACCCAGAAAAAAAAAAGAAATTTTTATAGGAACCACTAAATATCCCAATGATAACCGAAATGTTAATGTCTTTGATTCTTCAATTATAAAATATAAAGTAGATGATTGGATCAAAACACAAATTCCAACAGTTTGTTCTGTTCAAGAGGCTATCTTCATTAGCAAAGATAGCTTGAAGGTCATAAGGTGGAAAACTATGTACCACACAAGTGAAAGCAGGAAATGGGCAGGAATAACTGTTCTTATATTTGGAAAGACAGACTTCAAGTAAAAAGTAATTAGAGGATGTTGTATGATATTTTGTTTGCGTTCTGACAAATAAAGCTTGCCTGGAGATCAGAGGGCAGAGCTAGCCATTTGTTAACCATAGAGGCCAGGCAGTGACGGAACACACCTTTAATCCCAGCACTTGGGAGGAGGAAGCAGGAACATCAGGAGTTCAAGATTGCATTCAGACAGCAATGAAGAAAATGAAGCTATGTATGACCATAATACTACACCAGATTTAATCAATCTAAAACAAAGAGAGTTAGGTAATGGTGGTGCATGCCTTTAATCTCAGCACTAGGAAGGTGGAGACAGGAATATAAGGCAGGTAGAGACAGGATCTGTTCCTTTCAGTCTGAGGATTTATAGAGGTAAGAAGTTACTGATGGCTACTCTGCTTCTCTGATCTTTCAACTTTCACCCTGATATCTGACTCCAGGTTTTTTTTTTTTTTTTTTTTTTTTTGGTTTTTCGAGACAGGGTTTCTCTGTGTAGCTTTGCGCCTTTCCTGGAACTCACTTGGTAGCCCAGGCTGGCCTCGAACTCA